GAGTTCGAGACCAGCCTGACCAACATAGTGAAACCCCTTCTCTACTGAAAATATAAAAATTAGCCGGGCATGGTGGCGTGCGCCAGTAATCCCCGCTGCTGAGGAGACCGAGACAGGAGAATTGCTTGAACCCAGGAGGCAGAGGTTAAGTGAGCCAAGATCATGCCACTGTACTCCAGCCTGGCGACACAGCGAGACTCTATCTCAAAATCTGAATTAAATAAATTATTTTCCAGAATGGAGGCAAATACTATTTTTAGGCTAATTACCCAATTTTGCTTTAAAAATGCTATTTTCGAAGTCAGGCACGTAGCTCAGCAGCGGCCACAGCGCGTGCATCTGTGCCTCTGTGCAGGTCTCCGGGTCCCTCTGCCATCATACCAATGTTCATGGTAAACACCAACGTGCCCCGCGCCTCCGTGCTGCACGGGTTCCTCTCCGAGCTCACCCAGCAGCTAGTGCAGGCCACTGGCAAGCCACCCCAGTACACTGCGGTGCACTTGGTCCCGGATCAACTCGTGGCCTTGGGCGGCTCCAGCGAGCTGTGCGCGCTCTGCAGCCTGCACAGCATCTGCAATCTTAGCGGCGCGCAGAACCGCTCTTAACAGGAAGACATTATGCTGCCTGCGGGCAGAGCACCTGCGTATCAGCCCAGACAGAGTCCACAACAACTATAACATAAACGCAGCCAATGTTTGAACTTTAGGCTGGAACAAGTGCACCTTTACCTAAGAGCCGCACCAAACCCGCGCTGTCTGCACTGGCCCGAGCCAGAAACCCCGTCCCAAGCAGTGTTATAGGCCCGCCCAACCCCACCTTCTGGTGGGGAGAAATAAAGTTTAGAAAACAACAACAACAAAAAGCTATTTTCCAGGTGAATTACAGTGTATGCTTCTTTAAGAAAATGGATTTTTAAGTACATTTGATTAAGTACATTGGCAAGAAACTTAGAAGCCTATCGAATTGTTAAGCATTTTGGCGGTAGATCACTTTAATCATTTCTCAAAAAACAATTAAATGTAAAACTAAATGTGCAAGTCCCTAAAGTTAAAACAAACTAAAAAAAGAAAATAAAGAAAAGAAGAAGAAGAAAACAAAACAAAATAAAACAAACTAAAAAACTTGTGTAATCCTACTACAGTTTGGTAACCCAGAAAGCCACTGATAAATACAAAGAAACAAAAAAAACCTAGATACTTTATTAGTACATTCTTTTAAAAACAATGTTTTAATTACCTAAGAAACAATAAGCATATTTACAGTTACCTATTTTCAGAGATCTTCGGGACCTGTTAAACACTGATTGTCCTGACATTACATTTCTGCCACAGCTGTGCAAAGCACCCCCCTTCACAGTGTCATTTTCAGTTGCTACTAGACAATAATGAGAAATAAGTTGTAAAAATATTTTGTAAATCTGTTTTGAATCAGAATACAGATTCTCTGTAACTAGAAATAGTAAAGGCACATGAGTTAAAGTTTAGTCTATAAATTATCTTTATGCTTTATTCTTTGATATCTTACAGATCTCTATACAGACATCCATGACCCTTCAGATTTTCAGGATGCCCCAGAAAAGGAAACACAAAGCTTCCTGTCGGCATTACATAAGCTTTTCCTAATAAATGCATATGGCTAAATTATAAAGAAAGCATACTTGTGTATTAAACCAAATATTATTTTATTTTATTTTATTTTGTTGAGACAAAGTCTTGCTCTATGGCCCAGACTGGAATGCAGTGGTGGGATCTTGAGTCACTACAACGTCCTCCCAGGTTCAAGCAAGTCTCCTGCCTCAGACTCCTGAGCAACTGGGATTACAGGTGTGTACCACCACCCGCTGTTAATTTTTTGTATTTTTAGTAGAGACAGGGTTTTACCATGTTGGCTAGACTGGTCTTGAACCCCTGACCTCAAGTGATCCACGCACCTCGGCCTCCCAAAGTGCTGGGATTACAGGTATGAGATACCATGCCCAGCCTAAACCAAAAAATTTGGATATGAGTGCTATCTGATTCATTAATACAATTAAAGATTTTCTATTTAAATAAGTTGATGATGCTTATATTAATATACTTTAGGACCTTAGTAAAGAAAGGGTAAATCAAATCTGTAAGTCAACTAGTTAAATTTTACCGTATGTGGCCGGGTGGCTCACACCTGTAATCCCAGCACCTTAGGAGGCTGAGGCTGGTAGATCACCTGAAGTCAGGAGTTCGAGACCAATCTGTTCAACATGATGAAACCCTGTACAAAAAATTAGCCGGGCATGGTAGTGGGGGCGCCTGTCATCCCAGCTATTTGGGAGGCTGAGGCAGGAGAATCACTTGAACCTGGGAGGTGGACATTAGAGTGAGCCAAGTGTGCCACTGCACTCCAACCTAGACAACAGGAATGAAACTGTCTCAAAAAAAAAAAATTTTTACTGGATGCAAAATATATATGGCTCCAACTTGCCAGCAGAAATAAAAGTAACCCCATCACACACCCAGTGAATCTTCCTCTTTTAAATGAACAGAGAACAATTCTTTTTTTCTGAGACGGAGTTTCGCTCTTGTTACCCAGGCTGGAGTGCAATGGCGCGATCTCAGCTCACTGTAACCTCCGCCTCCTGGGTTCAGGCAATTCTCCTGCCTCAGCCTCCTGAGTAGCTGGGATTACAGGCATGTGCCACCATGCCCAGCTAATTTTTTGTATTTTTAGTAGAGACGGGGTTTCACCATGTTTACCAGGATGGTCTCGATCTCTTGATCTCATGATCCACCCGCCTCGGCCTCCCAAAGTGCTGGGATTACAGGCTTGAGCCACCGCGTCCGGCCTAGAACAATTCTTTAGAATACTTCTCAAGGAGAAAATGAGAAGTTTTGAAAAGCAGTTTTGGGTCAAGGGGGCTTTTCAAATTACACTTATGAGTCAGTGTCTATAAAAATTTTCACAAGTACCTACAATTTAGCCCTCTACATCCAAGCAGTAGCTTTGTAGTGTGCTCTTACTTAGGTTTGTCCAAACACAAATAAAGTTCACAAAGCTTGATAATCTAATAAAATTCCCTCTTCCTAAAGCCAAACTGATAATTTTGATGACAACAATCTAGCAAAAAAGAAAAAATTTTCTTTTTTTTCTTTTTTTTCTTTTTTTTTTTGAGACAGGGTCTCATGCTGTCACACAGGCCAGAATACAGTAGCACAATCTCAGCTCACTGCAGCCTTCACCTCCTGGGCTCAAGTGATCCTGCAACCTCAGTCTCCCAAGCAAATGGGACCACAGGCATAAACGACCATGGCTGACTAATTTTTACATTTTTTTTTTATAGAGATGGAGTCTCGTCATGTTGCCCAGGCTGGTCTTGAACTCCTGAGTTCAAGTGATCTGCCCACCTCGCCTCAGCCTAAAGGTGTGAGCCACCTCGCCCAGTCTAAAACAGGAATAAATTTCTAGATGCATGCTGCCTGCGGGACTCTATAGTATATTACAACATCCAGTCACTAAGAACCTTCTATTAATTCCTTACTTGCATTCTCAGGATCAAGACCAAAACATATGAGTAAGCAAAAGCTTATCATCAAGCAAAAAGGTATCTATCTATAAAAATAGCTAGATAGGCCGGGCATGGTGGCTCAAGCCTGTAATCCCACCACTTTGGGAGGCCGAGGCGGGTGGATCACGAGGTCAAGAGATCGAGACCATCCTGGTCAACATGGTGAAACCCTGTCTCTACTAAAAAAAAATACAAAAAATTAGCTGGGCATGGTGGCGCATGCCTGTGATCCCAGCTACTCAGGAGGCTGAGGCAGGAGAATTGCCTGAACCCAGGAGGCGGAGGTTGCAGTGAGCTGAGATTGTGCCATTGCACTCCAGCCTGGGTAACAAGAGCTCAAAAAAAAAAAATAAAATAAAATAAATAAAAGCTAGATATAGGCCAGGAGCAGTGGCTCACGCCTGTAATCCCAGCATTTTGGGAGGTCAAGGCAGGCGGATCATGAGGCCAGGAGATTAAGACCATCCTGGCCAACATGGTGAAACCTTGTCTCTACTAAAAATACAAAAATTATCTGGGTATGGTGGCGCATGCCTGTAATCCCAGCTACTTGGGAGGCTGAGGCAGGAGAATCATTTAAACCTGGGAGGCAGAGATTGCAGTAAACCAAGATCATGCCACTGCACTTAGCACAACAGACTCCATCTCAAATAAAAAAGATAGGTATTTCCCAAACACGCTCTTAGTATATCTGCTGCCAATAAAAAGCTTGAGGCGAGTGAAAACTGGCATCAAATAAAAGTAGGAATTTGTTTCATTGGCTTTTCTCTGTGGCTCAAACTATGGCAATGGAAAATTATGCTCTGGATAGAATTGTCAATATACAGAGATCTTTAAATTGTGTCATTGATACTATTTCTACACCACATAAAGGTTACGTTACAACTTATATTGCACGGGAAGAAGTAGCTAAAGGGGCTATTTGCCAGGGAACTTCTAGTAAATAATTTTTTTTTTTTTTTTTTTTGAGACGGAGTTTCGCTCTTGTTACCCAGGCTGGAGTGCAATGGCACCATCTCAGCTCACCGCAACCTCCGCCTCCTGGGTTCAGGCAATTCTCCTGCCTCAGCCTCCTGAGTAGCTGGAATTACAGGCATGCGCCACCATGCCCAGCTAATTTTTTGTATTTTTAGTAGAGACAGGGTTTCACCATGTTGACCAGGATGGTCTCGATCTCTTGACCTCGTGATCCACCCGCCTCGGCCTCCCAAAGTGCTGGGATTACAGGCGTGAGCCACCGCGCCCAGCCCCTTCTAGTAAATAATTTTTACAAATTTATAAAATAGGACTTGTCTACACTTAACTGGAGAATTCTACAGCATAAATGGCATTTCTACTTTTATTAAGCTTGGTAATTCTGTGTGAGCTCTTTATTAATTGAGATATATTCCATATCTGTTCTCACTTACATTTTTAGAAAAATCACTCTGGTTTAGTTTTGTTTTGTTTTGTTTTTTTCTCTAAGAGACAGGATCTCATTCTATTGCCCAGAGCGGACAGCAGGTGGCATGATCATAGCTCACTATAACCTCAAATTCCTGGTCTCAAGTGATCCTTCTGCCTCAGCCTTCCAAAGTGCTGGGATTTTAGACATGAGGCCACTGTGCTCAGCCTCATTAGTCATTTATCTACCAAACCACATGGAAAACTCAAAGACTCAGAGGGTCTTATCACCAAATGTACGTTTGCTTTGCAAAAGGTCAGATCCTGCGTTTTCAAAATGTTCCTTATGCTCTGTTATGCTTTATATTTCATAGCACAGCAACACCCCCTTCACAACGACTGGTGATCATGTTACCAATTTCTGTCCATGTATCTGAATGAGGATTATAAACTTCAACTGAGTCCAAGGTACCTGGGGCCAAAAAATCATGGCTGGAAGATCGACCTCCAGAGACATACAGAAGACCATTGACTGCCACAACGCACATGCCTGCTCTAGGCACTTTCATTGAGGCAACTTCAACCCACTTTTCCTGGTTAAGAGAGAAAAAAATAAATATGTTAGCAGTGTTATGAAATGATGGAAAGAAAACCACTGAGAAATTTGATATTCCAGTTCTTTTTACATGTCTAAATGTAAAACAGTCTAGTCGGGTAAGCATACAGATTTTTTTTGTTTTTGCTTTTTTCCTTGGAGACAGGGTCTCACTCTGTCACCCAAGCTGGACTGCATGGCATGATCTCGGCTCACTGCAGGCTCAACCTCCCAGACTCTAGAGATCCCCCTGCCTCAGCCTCCTGAGGAGGTAGGACTACAGGTATACACCACTATGTCCAGCTAACTTTTCTAGTGCAGAGATGGAGTTTTACCATGTTGTCTTAAACTCCTAAGCTCAAAGTGATTGTCCCAACTCAGCCTCCCAAAGTGCTGGGATTACAGGTGTAATCTGGGCACCCGGCCCAGAATATTTTATAATAAACTTGAAGTAGCCATGGACAAAGTAAATCTAGAGAAATATATATTTTTAAAGGTCTGATTATAAAATATGATCAGGAGATGACCTAGAAATCATGTACAGGACAACATTCTAAAAAACAAAGTCTCACTCAAAAATAAGCAAGTCAAAAGAACCACAAAGCTCCAAGGAGAAAGAAGCTTATAAACCAAAGGATTTTTTTTTTAAATGGAGTCTTGCTCTGTCACCCAGGCTGGAGTACAGTGGCACGATCTCGGCTCACTGCAACCTCCGTCTCCCCGGTTCAAGCAATTCTCCTGTCTCAACCTCCTGAGTAGCTGGGACTACAGGTGCCTGCCACCATGCCCAGCTAATTTTTGTATTTTTAGTAGAGACAGGGTTTCACCATATTGGTCAGGCTGGTCTGAAACTCCTGACCTCAGGTGATATGCCCACCTCGGCCTTCCAAAATGCTGGGATTACAGGTGTGAGCCACCACGCCCTGCCAAACCAAAGGATTTTTTAAAGCCTTTAGTATTCTAACAAGTCTTAAAAATGTTCAAGAAAATGACACAGCATGGAACATTTGGCTAATTTATTTGACCATGGAATCCTTTTTACAAGGAGTATCCAGTGGAGTTAGTGATCTGCAGAACATATTTTCAAAAAGGTGGGCTAACCAGGGGGTTAGGAACAATAGCCTAATATGGTATAGCCTGAGAACAATGATATTCCCATATTAAAAGTCATTTAAAAAAAAAAAGAAGCATATGTCAAAAAAGGAAATTGTATGTTGCCCACAGGCCAAAAATATTTACTATCTGGCCTTTTACACAAAAAGTTTGCTAACTCCTATTATACATTGTTCTCTGAAAAAATTTAAATATGCTGCTATAGCCAAAATGACTAGCAGTGTCTTACTTGAGGGAAACGTCCATACTTAGAAAACAAGAAAGCTACTAAAGGTCCTAAGAAGTAATTAGGAGAACAAAGAACAAGTAACCAGGTAATGGGAGAACAGATTATCAATCTTTAAATAAAGCATATAATGAACAAAGTTTTTTTAATCATTACAAGTGAAGACTGATTATTCATCAATGTTAAAAAGTGAATTTTTGAGAATAGGGACTTGAGCTTCTCATCGTGGTACCCACATAGGTACTAGGATAGTGCCATCACATTATAAACAGTTAATGTACATTTGCTGATATGAACTTAAATAAGATTATGAAATACTAAACCAGGGACAATTCTTTGAAAATGAAGGACCAGATTAAATTTGAAAGCTATTTGATCATCTGAAAGTACAGAGCACATCACAAAGCTGACATACCTGAAAAAAATACTCATATTTTAAAAGATAAATATATTCTCATTTCTGGTTAAGATAAATTAGGGTAATTTGGGTTATGTTTATAATTAGAGAGAACTAACCTTTGCTCTCCCACAAAAATACCCCTTGACAATAATAAAGGGAACTTAGGTCTCATCCTATATTGTTCCTATTTCATTTCTACCAATGTATTAGAACTGGTTTGCTTTTTAAATTTTTATTATTTTATTTTTGATGTTCTTTTTTTTTTTTTTTTTTTTTTTGAGACAGAGTTTCGCTCTTGTTACCCAGGCTGGAGTGCAATGGCGCAATCTCGGCTCACCGCAACCTCCGCCTCCTGGGTTCAGGCAATTCTCCTGCCTCAGCCTCCTGAGTAACTGGGATTACAGGCACACGCCACCATGCCAAGCTAGTTTTTTGTATTTTTAGTAGAGACAGGGTTTCACCATGTTGACCGGGATGGTCTCAATCTCTTGACCTCGTGATCCACCCGCCTCGGCCTCCCAAAGTGCTGGGATTACAGGCTTGAGCCACAGCACCCAGCAATTGACATGTTCTTATCTGACATAGTTTCATAGTTTACTTTTTATACCATGTTACCTCAAAAAAAAAAAAAAAAAAAAAAAACCTCTGTAAGACTACCAACATGTTTTACATTATGTTTAGGGCCTGGATTTGTAATGCAAATTGTTAGTAGGTAGTCAATAACAATAAAATTTCATATTTATGCATAAAAACCAAGGTAATACATTATTAATAAGACTTAATTTGAAACAAAAATCTATTCATTTCAAAGCCATTCATTTCTAATACAGAAAGTGCCCTAAAAAAGTTCACTTTCTGTATCAGATAAACCCAAAGAGAATCATGGAGAAAGGCATTTGCAATGCCACCAAAGTTTAAAACTTGTCAGAAATGAGAATCAAAATCCTCATGCTTTACAACAAGACATGGAAGTCCATTCTTGCCATTTCAACATTATACTGGAGGTCCTAGCTAGGGTAAGGAGGGGAAAACAATGAAATAAAAGGCATCTTAGTTTTAATTCAGATTTAAGAAGTAAACAATCTTTTTTTTTTTTTTTTAAGCCAAGATCTCACTCTGTGGCCCAGGCTAGAGTGTACTGGTACAATCATGGCTTACTGTATCCTTGACCTCCCTGGGCTCAGGTGATCCTCCCACTTCAACCTCCCAAGGAGCTGGGACTACAGCTGTGTACTACCACACCTGGCTAGTTTTTGCATTTTTTATAAAGACAGGGTTTCATCATGTTGCCCAGGCTGGTCTTGAACTCCCGGGCTCAAGTGATCCACCCATGCCTCCCAAAGTGCTGGGATTATAGGTTTAAGTCACTGCACCCAGCCAACAATTTTTTTTTTTTTTTTTTTTTTTTTTTTAAGACGGAGTTTCGTTCTTGTTACCCAGGCTGGAGTGCAATAGCGTGATCTCGGCTCACTGCAACCTCCGCCTCCTGGGTTCAGGCAATTCTCCTGCCTCAGCCTCCTGAGTAGCTGGGACTACAGGCACATGCCACCATGCCCAGCTAATGTTTTGTATTTTTTTAGTAGAGACGGGGTTTCACCATGTTGACCAGGATGGTCTCGATCTCTTGACCTTGTGATCCACCCGCCTCAGCCTCCCAAAGTGCTGGGATTACAGGCTTGAGCCACCATGCCCGGCTAACAATCTTTATTTATAGATGATATGATCTTGTATAGAGAAAATCCTAAGGAATACATAAAATTAAAAAAAAAAACATTAGATTATGAGTGCAGCAAGGTCACAGAATAAACTGTATTTCTATGTACTGGCAATGAACAATCTGAACATGAAATTAATAAACAATTCAATTTACAATAGCATTAAAAGGAATAAAATAATTCAGAATAAATTTAACCAAAAAAAGTACAAGGAACTGAAAATTATAAAACATTGTTGAAACAATCTGAAGACCTAAATTAAAGACATCCTATGATGAATCAAAAGACTTATTAATAGTGTTAAGTTGGTGATAATCTCCAAATTGATCTCAAATTCAATGCAATCTCTGTAAAAAAGCCAACTGGCTTCTCTGCAGGAACTGACAAGCTGATCCTAAAATGCATATGAAATTCAAGGTACCCAGGATAGCCAAATTTTTAAAAGATCAAATTTGAAGGAATCACACTTTCTGATTTCAAAACTTACTACAATGCTATAATAAGAGAGTATGGCACTGGCATAATGATAGAGAGACATATAGATAAGTGAACAAAATAGAAAGCTCAGAAATAAACCCTCACATGTATGGTCAACTGATTTTCAACAAAGGTCCTAAGACAATTCAATGGGGAAAGAACAGTGTTTGCTTGTTTGTTTGTTTTTTAAAGATGGAGTTTCACCATGATGGCCAGGCTGGTCTTGAACTCCTAACCTCAGGTGATCCACCCACCTCAGCCTCCCAAAGTGTTAGGATTATAGGCGTGAGCCACCGCGCCCGGCACAAGAACAGTGTTTTTAATAAATGATGCTGGGACAACTGGATACCCAAATACAAATGAGGGTGGATCTCTACCTCACATCACATATAAAATTAAATCAAAATGCATCAAAGACCTAAATACAAAAATTAAAACTATAAAACTCTTAGAAGAAAGCATAACTGTAAGTCCTTATGACCCTGGATTCAGCAATGCTTTCTTAATTATAATAAAAGCATAAGTAACAAAGGAAAAAAGTAAATTAGACATTCAAAATTTAAATTTTTATGCTTGAATAGCATCAAGAAAGTGAAGAAAACACACATAATGGGAGAGAAAATTTGCAAATTATATATTTGACAAATAATCCAATTTTAAAACATAAATTCAATAGATATTTCTTCAAAGAAGATAAACAGATGACCAAAATACACATGAAAAGATGCTTAACATTATTAGCCATCAGGGAAATGCAAATCAAAGCCACAATGAGATACCCATTTATACTTATTAGAACAGCTATAAAAGAAAAAGCAAATAATAACAAGCATTGGATGTGGAGAAACTGGAGCCCTCAGACACTGATGGTGGTTATATAAAATGGTGCAGATAGCTTAGGAAACAGTCTGGGAGATCCTAAAAAAGGTTAAACACGGTGAGGTGCGGTGGCTCACACCTGTAATCCAAGCCCTTTGGGAGGCTGAGGTGGGTAGATCAGTTCAGGTCAGGAGTTCAAAACCAGCCTGGCCAACATGGTGAAACCCTGTCTCTACTAAAATACAAAA